ATGACAATAACATTTCAAAATACTAAAAATACTTTTATTAGAACTTCCAGACATTCGTTTACCGCTTACGTCTTATGTTCCTGTATAGAACTATGTACAACATAAAAGGTTATTTTTTAAGTTTCCGGACTTCATTAAAAATTAAAAATAAAAGTAAGTGTTTGAGATCTTTATGATCGTTATAATTTAATGATTAAAGATTATTTCATGTACAAATTAGCCGCGACTGCGCTGTAAATGGTTCATACGCGGTGTTTAATTTTTGCATACTCTTACGAATAAATTCTTCAATATTGGCTTCCAGTGCTTCAATTGTAGGCCTTTTGTTTGTCGAATAGTGCTTTTTTTGGGATGTTTTAGGAGTTTTAATAATGCCTCTGGCTACTTTTTACTACTTCAAATGCGATAATTTTGGTAGTTTACGTATCCATTCAATCAAAAATGAACTTCGTCGCTGAACACAATTTCTTGATAAAATAGTAGATCTTCATTCAACTTTGCCTGAGTCCATTCTTCAAAAGTTAGCTGTTTCCCACCCAAATCTTACCGCAAACCGTTACATGTAAGACCCAAGTGTTGCGAACGCCACGTCATCGTTAATTCGTGGTTTTATCACACACTAGCGGATATTTCCCCTTGTCCGCTGTCCAGGTATATGTTTTAGTGGTTTTGGCCTCAGAAGGTCGACCAAACTGATCATATAATAAAAGTAGTACACGATACACTTTCTTAGTCGAGCAAAAATTTTGATAATAAAATTCAGTCATTTGCAAGCGTTAAATTGCAGACCAAAGTGAATATTTTTTGTTAGTAGAGCCGATGACAGATAGAACTTTCGCGCCGTTGCGTGACAGATCTACTTTTATTTTTTAAGATGCATAAATGCATTTGTACGAAATTTATTGACTTCATCTAATCTTTTTGCGCTCGTTGACCAAGCTCTGTTTATTTTTTTAATTTTTCCGCAAACATCAAAAGAAGTTCAATAATAATTTAATATAACAGGTTTTTAAGTTTCTGATAGAAAAAGTATTAAATGGAAAATGTTCATTGCGCCATAGCATTGGCGTTTATCGCTTTGCCTGTCAAAGTTGGAAATGTCTCGTAACATAAAAAAAAAAAAAAATCTATCTGCCATCGGCTGGGCACTAAGCAAAAAAACCCGCGTGATCTGTGTTACCAAAAGAAAGTTGCTAAAAATTACTCTTCATTGGCAATTTCCATCCTAATTTTCACAGTTGAAAATAACTGTATTTGTCTTCTTTTATTGTAAAAATACTCGGACTTATTTTCATCTTTTGAATAACTCTTCTTCTGGCTTTAATCGCCATTGTTTCCAAACTTAAGTTGAAATGCGAGCGAAACAGAATGTGTGAAGCTCACCATAGGGAACTCTGTATAGCAAATTTTCACCCAGCATTAGTGAATAGCGCTTGCACTTGAGTAATATCGGCTATGCACGTGCACGCCAGTTAAGACTTGCCTGTAGACTTAAATTGCAAGCGATTGTCTACAAAGGCTGCATTGCAGCAGATGCCCTTTTCTTCCGACAAGGTCCACCATCTTTACGAATGGATCCAAAATTTATAACCGAATAGAATTAGTCTCCAAATTGCCTTTGTCTACCAGATCACTGCATTGTTTTTATGCTGGTTCTGGCAAAGACACGACGATATACTAGAACACCATTTAACGATTGCTGAAGAAGTTGCATAGGGGTCGGAGAAGAAGGAAAAGGTTCGCAACTATCGGCATCAGTTTCTCATATTCAACTATTTAATTTAATTAGCTTTATGAAGATCAACTGGTAGTTCAAAAGTGACATGATACTGTGAGATCTCTTCAGTCCCATTGGTATCTCAAAGGGCCTTCTAAAGACCTAAATTAGTCACAAGACAACTTTACTTTTAAATACTTAACTACGCACTCTACGGCACAAAATTATAGAAAGCGATAATACACGGGCCGCCGAAAATCAAAATATCTGATACCTTTAAATCATACCTCGTATGTGCATACATACGTACACATATACCGTGTCCTTTTTACATCAGTGTGTACCTGAGTGTACATATAAAGAGCTGTGTGTAAATTTATGTATGTACGTATGAACATACATATGTACATATATCTTTATATGTAAGGACAAATCAACCCCTTATTCATAATGCAAATACACAGGTAAATGTAACGGTTGTCAGAAAAGCTGCAACGGTCATTGGTCTGGAAACAACAAATATAAATGTATGTTTCTATGTATGTGTTTTATATTTCAATATCCACATATGCATGTATGTACAATGTTCATGCATATCATTTAATCACACCGAAATGATGCATAGTAAATATATGTTTTTATTGCTTTAATTTCGTTTACCAATTTTCATTTCGCAAAATTAATAATTGTGATTAATGAGTAAGCGTTGCTTAGAAACACACAAACTTCTATGCATACATTGTACATACATACAAACATATAATGCATATATACAGGCATAGACATATTTTGATCCTGTAAGGGAGTGCAGTTTTTTTTTTTTTGCTTGTATACATGAAAAGTACAGGTCCATTTTTTTTCATCCGTATTTTATGATAGCCGAATAGATGGTTAACGCACCCACAGTGCTTACGAGCGAGCAATACATGTGTACATACGAGTATATCCTCGTTACAGCAATTCGCTACTAATTTGTTCTAAGGTTTGGGGCTGTAAAGTTCATGAAACTACGCCGCTTCACAACCTGTGGAGCGCCATAAATACATTTGTGTACATATACATACATATGTATGTACATGCACACATCAAAGCATAATATTTACACCGAGTGGGGATAATAAAACTTTTTTCTATTTGCTATCGTCTTTTAACATTCAACAGTTCGGCTTTTGGTTAAAATGTGTATGTATGTATGTTGTTATTCGCTTATGCGCTGAAGCGGCGAGCAAGCTTTATTTGTGAAGTATATGGGTGTGGAATAGCGTCTTTCTTGTCTACTCGTGAATGTCTACCTCCATATTTACATACATATATGTACATACATATATGAACATGTACATGCACATGTGCATGCATTGTACGTACATATACATACACACAAAATTTTTGTAACTGACTCCCGTGCAAGGCACATTTTATGCATCATTTTGTTTCCTATGGTTATATCTTTAGTGGCGGCTATAGCTATAAAAGCGACTGACGCCTGTATTTATGTTGTAATCGAGATTATTCATATACATAAAATACGTACGTATGTTTGTATGAACACAGATACTATATATTGATTTTTACAACAAATAAAAAAAAAATGCATACAAAAACAAAATCCCTAAAGCTTACCATACTGTGGAGGCGGAATGAAGCGAATTGACACAAACGCAATTCTTAAGGGTGCGAGCGTACTCGCTGAAGTTGATACCCGGAAGAAATATCATATGCATGTATGCGTGCATTTCGAGCGAGTTTGTACGGCGAAATTGTTTTAAGGGTAGATTGCTTTTAGGGTTGCTAAATAGTCACCAATATCATTTGAAGGAGTTTCTTCTAAAATATACCATATAAACATGTAAATATGTAGAAATTTTTGACAAAATTGAGCGTTTTACTTAAACTAATACTGTGCCATGTATTTTCGGTGAAATTCATAATGAAGTAATTAAAGAATTTATTGTCACGTTCTCCACACAGGAATAAATACTTTTCTTCATTTTAAAAGTATTTTTCTTTTTTTGATTTTTATCTTTTATTATTCAATGTTCTTTTTCAACTTTTTGAATTTGGCAGAAAAAAGGTCATGCGGTATTTATTTTAGACTAAACAGCACATCTTTTTCTCACAATGCAAATCTTTAACACTAGCGCGGTGTTTATTTCAACCTTAAATTAAATGATATTTACTAAGTATATAATAGTTATGTATTTATTAGAATAATTTTAAAGCAAAGCTTTTAATTTTTGATGTTTTAAGGCATTAAAAGCGGCTAAATATTTCGAATGAATAATTCAATATAATTAAAATATTTCTTTTTTTATTCAATATAATGTAAAATATTTCATAAATATTCTTTTAGTAGAAAATTAATTCCTAATTCTTCAAACAGAAAGTCAAGAGTAGAAATTATTAGTAAATCCTTGGACTAAATAAAATAAAATAAGCAATAGAAAGTAGAAGTTATGTAAAGACAACTAATGATTTTGGAAAATGTTGTAATTTCGGAAAATAAGATCACTGAATTTTTCATAAAGGTTTGATACTGGAAACTTGGGTGAACACACCGTAATAGCTTAATTTTTGTTTTCAACTTTTTTTTTTGACACATGACACATGGTAACTCTGTAACTCCTGACAGACATCTGCAAGGGAAGTTGAGCTAAGCCGACAAACTATACTCGCTGCAGCTGTCGTCCCCAACGCTTGTATCTTGTATCGCTGCAATAGCTATTATAATTTGATATTTGTATTGGTCATTGTTCGGCGACATCGGTTAGCATTTTTCAAGGAAGACAAACAATCCTGTTTACTCTGTTGTTGCAATCGTTGCACTATTACCCTGTTTTAAAAATTTTTCGGAAAAGTTGCATTAAATTTTGTGTAAAAGTATATTAGTAATATAATAACATCTGTGTTGTGCGGTTGTATACTGGCGCAAAGAACTTCACCGTATACATACATGCATTTTGTAATTGCAGTAAGTATGTATATGCATATATATGTATTGTACATATGTACTTGTGTGCATACATATATGAATGTATATTGGTATGGATGGTATATTCGTATAGATATATCACTGTCTGAAAAAATTCAACTCGTTCGCGTCTAGCTTTGTCCGGGCTACTTTTGTGATGCTACTAAAAATGATTGTCTACAGTTTTTGAGTGTGCAATTTGTTATTTTTATTATATTGTATTGTAAAATTAAGGGTTTCAATTTATAAAAAGTAAATCCTGTGAACATGTTTAAGAATTAAAATAATAAATTTATATTTATTTTACATTTTCAGTCTTAAAAAATGGCTATACTTTTACTAAAGTTGTAAACATATTGTTGGACCTTGAATAAACAAGAGTAACTGTGTAAATATAACGAAAACGCAACTACTAAATATATTTACAACCCAAAAACCCATTCGTGAATTACAATTTGTTTGGGTCATAAAGAAGCAGATAAAATTCATTTACAAGGATTAAAGGTAATGTAATTAAATAACCTGGTGTTTAGGTTTTATCTTAAAAAAAATTTTATTATTATTTTTTAGAAACAAAATTGGTCATTTAGCTCACCTGCTAAAATGGCCTCTTCTCCCACTCCCTCATTGGACTCCATACGTGGTACTAATTCTATAGAATCGTTCGGTGAGCATACCGGATATTTATCAGACTCTCCACTTACGTTGAGCGGTTCTTCGCCACCCGTTAGTGACTCGGTAATTTGTGACGAATTTACAAGTACCGGTTCTTCAACTGGTAGCAATCAACATCATCCGATTTCTGCATCGGTATCGTCTTCATCATCATCGTCTAGCAGTGGTTTAAGCGGCTGCGGCAGCACAAGTAGTTCTAACAGTAACAACAGTTGCAACGTGAATGGTGTAGGTGGAGTACTTAATGGTGTCACTTGCAATAACAGTAATAAAAATAGTCCTGGCGTTATCGGTAGTAACTTGAATGGTAAAGGCAGTCCGAGCAACAATCTACTTTCGAGTAGCAGCAATATTGTAAGTGTATCAACAGCTAATGGTAGCGCTGTACCGCGTTGTACAGCTTGCAAAAGCAAACAGTCAGACGCTGTAGCGAGATGTTATGAATGCATCAGTTATCTGTGCGCCAATTGTGTTACAGCTCATCAATTTATGCATTGTTTTAATGGTCACAATGTGTCCCTCATAAAAGGATTTGATAGTACGTCTACTAACAACGTCACTCCCGCATCGACAGCTCCAACATTAACTACAACCCCTTCGAATATGACAGTCCCTTTGTCTAGCAATATGGCCACACCCGACATGAAAATATCTAGTTCTCTTACTATGATGCTGCAACAACAGCAACAACAACAAGTCTCCAAATTTACCCAACTCTCAAAAATTGTATTGAATTCGCATATTGTTGCTACAAATAACCTATCACTATTAGGCGAAAATATGGATAACACTGAAAATAGCAGTAATAATGGTGATGATCTGTTTGGAAATATAATGCCGCAATTGCGTTCTACATCATTTTGCCGCCGTCACAAAAATGAACCATTAAAATTCAGTTGCCGCACATGCAGCAAGATTGTTTGTAATGAATGCGTTGTCCAGGAGCACTCAGCTGGCTTGCATGAAATTGAACATATACAGGAGCATCAATTATCGACTGTTTTCCCACCAAATGCCTCGACAGCATCAACTTCATCTTCCACGTCCTTCAATACTCCACAACATTCATCCGAATCGGTGTTGCAAACAGTTCTAACAGAGATACGTGGAAAAATTGCAGAAATTGTGTCATTAGTCAGCAGTAATTCGGATAATAATTCAAGTAAAATAAAAATGCAATATCAGAAAGCACACAACGAGATCAATGAAACTTATCAATTTTTCTGTTCGATGCTCGACGAACGTAAACAGGAGGTTTTAAAGGAACTCGAGAGTTTATATAATGCCAAAAATGCATCAAGTGGTGTCTGGTTGCAACGTTCTAAAGAGCTCATCGAAAAAGCGGTACATACATGCGATAGCTTAGAACGCACACCTAAAGCACATAATGTTAGCGATGTTTTAATGATGCGTAAAATGATTGATCAACAGTTACAAACTGCATTAATGGATATGCAATTTCCATTTGAATTGGAATTTATTTCAAATTATCAGTCCATACAAGCGGGTGTACGAAACACTTTTGGTTATATTAGATCGGGTAATGCTGACCCAGCTAATACATGCGGAATGAATGGTCCAGCCGTCAAGCAGCCGCCCATTGCTAGGCCAACTCAGAGCACATCTAATAGCAGCAGCAGCAATAGCAGTCTCAGCGGTATCGGCAGTTCAGCTCATTTGCCAATTGGCTTGGGGTTGTCGGCTAGTATGCTGGACTCTTACAACAGCTCTCTTGTTGGAGGTGTTAACAGTGTTGGTGGCATGCTTGCACGCAGCAGCAATCATAATTTGATGGGCAACGGTGGCACTAATACTAATTCAGCTTTTGAAGAGTTGATTGCAAAGCGTTATCATAATCATACAACCGGTGTTATAGCACCTTATGTTGGTGTAAATCCTTATGAAAAATGGAGTAACGGCGGCAGCGATAATATTTTTTCAGGAGCAGATGCTTTCTCAAGCGCACAATTACTTAACTCTCTAACCAGTAGTGTGAGTGGTGCTACCGCAGGCAATGCACTCAATGCACTCACTGCAAATAATGCATCAACTGACTCGCTAATGGATTTAACTTCTAAACTGCTCTCTACCTCCACTTATCCACCTAAGTCACAAATTAAACGTCAGAAAATGATTTATCACTGCAAATTTGGTGAATTTGGCGTGTTGGAGGGTCAATTCACCGAACCCAGCGGTGTTGCGGTCAACGCACAAAACGATATAATTGTTGCCGATACAAATAATCATCGCATACAGATTTTTGATAAGGAAGGACGTTTTAAATTTCAATTTGGTGAATGTGGTAAACGCGATTCCCAGCTGCTATATCCAAATCGTGTAGCTGTGGTACGAAATTCAGGCGATATAATCGTCACTGAACGTTCCCCAACACACCAAATACAGATCTACAATCAGTATGGACAGTTTGTAAGGAAATTTGGCGCCAATATATTGCAACATCCACGTGGCGTGACAGTTGACAACAAAGGACGCATTATAGTTGTTGAATGCAAGGTGATGCGCGTAATAATATTTGATCAGAATGGTAATGTGATTCACAAGTTTGGCTGCAGCAAACATTTAGAATTTCCGAACGGTGTTGTGGTCAACGACAAACAGGAAATATTCATCAGTGACAATCGTGCACATTGCGTTAAAGTTTTCAATTATGAAGGTCAGTATTTAAGACAAATTGGCGGAGAAGGTGTCACCAATTACCCTATTGGTGTCGGTATTAATGCGAATGGCGAAATTTTAATTGCTGATAATCACAACAACTTTAATTTGACGATATTCACACAAGAAGGTCAGTTGGTTAGTGCTTTGGAGTCGAAGGTTAAACATGCACAATGTTTCGATGTCGCACTCATGGACGATGGGAGTGTGGTTCTCGCTAGTAAAGATTACCGCCTATACATCTACAGGTATGTGCAAGTACCCCAAATTGTTATGTAAATGGGGTAAAAGTAAGAGATTTGAAGGAGAAAGCACAAAATAAGTAAAAAAAAAAAATGAAAAAAAGTATATATTAATTGAAAGTAAAACAAAATTATGAAATGTTATGGTACTGTTGGCAGTTAGTGGTCATTTGTCCTCATTTATTCTGTATGGTTTTCTATTTTTTGTTTTGTTGTTTTTTACACATTTAAGATTCATACACAATTATTGTATGCATCCATCAGTGTTTAAAGAAAATTTCTCTGCTATTTTTGATACTTCGAAAGCGAAAAGTAAAAATAATACGTGCTATCACAAAATATATGATACAGTTCTTTATGCTTATAATAAATATCTGTAAAAGTTGAAAGGTTTTTTATACAACTGAATGCATCTAAAATCAATTGAACTTAATATATAAAAAATTAGCATTAATTAAATTAACAAAACTTATTTATCAAAATGGAAACAGTTGATGTTTTCTTATTATCTACTTATAATTGCTTGTTAATTTTTATACCTTTTGCTTGTTTTTATTTTATTTCTTTTGTAATTTATATACGACTCCCACTGGTTTGTTTGTTTTTATATTGAAATTATTACTCATAATGACGATGCCGAGATGTGTATGTATTTTAGATAAATTTTAATTCGAGTAAAGCATTAAGTAATATTAGTTGTTCGTAAAAATGTAAGGTTTTTTAATTTTTTAGGTATAATTTTTTGGTTTTATTCAATGAACTGAATAATTTTTTGTATAACTTTAAAAAATATAAAATAATAAAATGTTGAATCTTATAAAAAGTATACATACATACACGAAATATGTATATAGAAAGCAGAAAAAAATTTTTTATTTTTTTTTTATAAAATGTTAATGTGGAATACATTTTTGCTATAGAAAATAAACGGTTGATTGAAGTATAATCAAAAGGGGAATGAAACTAAAAATTAAACAATGTTAATTCAAAACGAAGAGCAAACATACATTTTGGCAATCAAATAAGACTTGAAAAAAAAAACAAAAATGCATAGATCGTAAATTTGTATTTGAAAGTAGGAATTTTACTTAGTTAACATAAAATGGAATAAATTTCTCATATTAAAAAAAAAAAATATTCATAGAATGAATTTTAATCGTTGCAAAGATTTATTTTTTCCAAAAATTTGTATTGTAATGTCAGACATACATACAAACTCTTGCATACTGACTATGCTTCAAGTTTCTACATAATTTTTATCAGACATTTATACACATAAATATACATATATATAGTTATTATGTGATTGCTGTATGCAGAAACAAACTCTATATGATTGCATACTTATAACGTAAGTTTTTTTTTAGTTATTACGTACAAAAAAGAATTGCTGTTGTTAATACTTGTAGTGAAAATTAACGAAAAGTTTTGAATAGGCAACACTTTTCCAGTGCAATTACTTACGTATGTATATACACTTTTGTACTATGTATATATTAAATAACCACAATATGCAAATTATTACAACTTTAATATTAAAAATTGAATTGATTGCGATTTTACTAAATACAACAAATATAAATTTGTTATGGAAAAGATATTCGTGGCCAAATATAATAAGCACGAAATTGTATTTAAATCTAAATGCCTGCAGCAAAATTTTACCAATTTTGTTTAAGATGCATAGTTTAAAATTTAGCTACAATTTTATAAATCAAACTTTCGTTTTTATAACGAAAACTCTAATTCAAACATTGAATACGGAATTTTGAATTGTTTTCGAGATTTTTTGATAATTAAACTAATTAATCTTTCCTATGTCTGTTTTTTTATATATATTTTTTATAGTGTTAAATTTGATAGTATATCAACAGATTATATTTTACGTGCATTACTTTAATTTCTTCATTTTAATTATTTAACTTTTTTCTTTATTGTATCTAACTTTTATAAAATTCTGTAATTTTTATCTGGTTTGGTGCATTTATAAACTTGTTTTTGACATTTAATGGTATTTTCGTTTCTTGATAGAATTTCTTCCGCCCTCTTAGTAACATTAAAAATTATTATGGCTTTTACTGTGCTGTTGCATTGAGATTTACAAACAATGAACATAAACAACTTTACGTAAAACAAATATCTACATTTCAAAACAACAAATTCAAAAATCTAAGAAATTAGTTATAAAAATGTCGATAACAAAATACAGTGAAATACCGAGGGGGTGAGCTTTTCTTTTATCTTTTTAAACGAAAATATTTTATTTAAGACTATTTTACTTTTACCGTGCATATTTATTTGTTTGCTTAATTTTCGAGTGCAGTTTTGACTCACAATTTATTTTATTTTCCTTAAAAAACTTTTTTTTACTTTTTTATGCAGTCACCAGTATTTTGCTTATAAATGACTTTATATTATTTCATACATTTCAAATCTTCTCAATTATATTTATTCTTATATTTTACAATAAACTTACATGCATAATTTTATATAAATGCAGTTACAGTACGGTAATAATACGAGCGCCAAACTCTTATCGCCTTACTCTGTATTTGTAAAAAAAAATTAGCTATGTTCTTAAAGCACTGATTCATTCCAAATTTCAAAATTTCGACATAAAACAAAAACAAACATCGAAGACTTGTTTCTGTTTTGTATTGAAATTTAAACCCGAATTTTCTCAGTCGAAATTCATTACAGGGGAATATAAATATGAGTACATATTTGAAGTAAAAAATAGACTTCTCTTTTTATATAAGAAAATATTACAAACGGAACAAAAGTTACTGATAAAAAAAAGTTAATAATAAAAAAGCTCACTTGTTTAACTAATAAAAAAAATCTAAAATAAAAACCGCATACTTTATAAAACAACAGATGGACATTTTGCTCACAAATCAAAACCGCCTAGCTCCAGCTAGATGACAAATTTAATCATTTTCACTATGGCTTTAGTTAAGCTATTTAGTTTTATAATAATTCTCGTCTACCAAAACCTTCTAGCTCTTCGCGCATTCATATAAATCTTGAAGTAGATCTTCTGAGTTAATTGAAAAACAATAAAAAAAAAACAGACTTAGGCTGTTATGATTTATGAGTATATATTTTTACAAAAAATATATAAGGCTATTAAGAATCTCATAATGTTTAAAATGCATTTAAATACGATATATACGTAACTGGCATATGCGTTGTAAAAGGTAAATGAACACAGTTGTATCAATTAAAAAAAAAAAAGTAATAGTTATAACATAAGTTGTATTTAAAAAAGTTTGATTATGGTCAATACAAAATTTATTTAATACTGTTATAAATAGATAAAGGAAAACGAATATCCTATTATATAGTACAGTGTTTGCTAACTACTTGTAGATCACACACCTATACATATGTATACCGTAATCTCAAAAATTATTTTTAAACAACCTCAAGCATGCAAGCATAATATATGTAAATTCTGTTAGTGTATTTCTGGCCAATTAAATGAGGTGTTTTTATAAAATAAAATAATTATGTTTTTGTTTAGCACAGCGTAGAGTTGAAAAGTAAAAGGTATCGACAGATTGAAAGCCAGCAAATCACGAAAATCGATGAAGAATATTAAAAAATGATATTTGTTAAATAAACTAACAGTTATGCAGTTTTTATTGAATATCTGGTATGAATCAGCACTGCTGCAAATTGACTATGCAAAATAAAATTTATACATAACATTATATCCATATAACTCGAATTATACTACTTATTAAATTGTTGTTTATTACATTACGAAGTAAAGTGAAAGGTTTGAAGGTGTTGAAAAGTTAAAATAAAAAATATAAATAAATAGTACGGACAAAAGGCACAAATTAGTATTAACACTAAAAGCGGAGCAAAAACTGCAAAGAACATAAGATTGATAATGTAAAAAAAAAAAATCTAAAAACAATTTGAAATTCTGTAAGTAGTGTTTATATTTTTGATAAATGTTATTAAAACTCAAGATTAAAAAATAAATTTTTAAACCATAAACAATTTGATATACAGAAAAAAGTGAAAATTAAAACAAAAAAGCAACGTTGGTTGTTCAAGTAATATTATATTAGAATGAAGCAAGAAGCATAGCATTTTTATGTTGAACGCAAAAATTTCTTTTAGTTTTTGAAGCTTACTCAATCGCACCAATTTGTACTACTAAGCGTATGTACTAAGTAAAGTAAAATATATATTTAGAAATATAGTTATGTTTGCTATTTAAAATATCTATTTTCGGTTTTGGCAAAATATACATGTACATATCTATACATACGTATGTATATATACATATATATTTCCAATAATTACTAAAATATTGGGTTATTTGTTGAAAAGTTGTTTAATTTTTTAATTTTTAGTTTCATTTATGTGAAAGAATATTTGTTCAGCATTGAATTTTACGAGTCTATATTTAAATTTGAAAGTTTCCATCCAACACAAACATTTAGAAAATGTACTATAATAAAGGTATCAGAAAAAATTTGAAGTATTGATCTCAATCTTTAATAAAAACAAAAAAAAAAAATAAGTAAATAAAGTTTCATATATGTAGTAGACAGTTAATTATGAGAAGCGCGAATTGGTGCTCAAGTTTTATGTATGCAGCATTTATTTTGTGCAAAATTATATATTAGAAAATTTAAGAGTTATTATTTATTTACGTGCACTCGCTTATATCGTGGCCTGTTCAGAAACTTTATGCAATGGTTGATAGGCAGTTCACATACATGGATACACATACAGGCATATGTACATAATTTTATGTTTTTAATTTAGACAATGTAGTTTGAAAAACAATAATTAATTCTTCCAATGAAAAAACTTACTTTTTATCCCTCAAAACTAATGCATTTTTTTTGGGTTAAGAGACATCAATTTTCATAAATTATTCCATTAAAAAATTGATTTAAACGTTCAAAATTATAAATTAAAATAGTTGTATTAAAAGCACTGAAAACTTCCCATATAGCATAAATATGTTTGTATGTATATGTATAACATTGCCAAACACACAACTTGCATAATTGAGGTAAAGTACTTGCTTTAGAAGTGAAAGGCTACATTTTATTTAATCTACAACTTGCGGTCAATTTAGAGTTAAATAGAACAGGTTTTAAGTAAGTGGAAGATATGTTAAAAAACGAAGTATATTTCATTATATTACTGCTTATAGTTTTCATGAAAAATCGAATTTTTAAAGTTTACACTAAATGTGCAGATAAGTAAGCTCTTCTTTTAGAAATACATATGTCGAAAA